GTCAGTCGGGGCACAGGCCTGGGTTGCAGGCTCGAGCCCCAGTGTGGAGCGTGCAGGAGGCAGCCGGTCAGTGATCCTCTCTCATCACTGATGTTTCTCTCTCCCTCTCCCTTCCTCTCTGAAATCAATAAAAACATTTAATAAAGTCATGTGGTGCCCAGCTGCCGGCTCCAACGCCGTCTCCTCACGTCGGCTCCCCCGTGCTGCTGAGGGAGCACGTGCACTAGTTTCCCATGAACCAGAGGCAAGTTGGGGCTGCTGTGTCGGCAGCTTTCAGATCTGAGTCTTGTCTTCTAAGAAGTACCTGTGCCTTTGGCCAGAAGTTATAATTGCTGCTGACTAAACAAAGGAGCTCTGGCAGCATCTTGCTAAAAATGGAGAACATAAAGTGGGAGGAAAAAAAAGGAGATCCAGGTTGTGTTTCTAGCCATTTCCTCTCCTGAGAGCAAGTGCGCCCAGGCCACGGCTGCGGCAGTCCTGGAATGGAGCGGGGCCGGGGAGCTCCTCCCAGGCACCTGCATCCCTGTCACATGGCAATGCAGGGTGGGGGCGTCAGGCACCACCGAGCTGTGTGTCCCTGTCTCGGTCCAGAGGCCAGACCACAGCAGCGACTGCGCGGGCCAGCTGGCTTTAAGGTACACGGCGGTGGGGGAAGGGTGTGCGGCGCGTGCCAGTGGCCAAGGCTCCCCGTGTTTTGGTCAGCAGTAAGGACTGGGGAGAAGCGCGGAGAAGCAGGAAAAGATGCAGTGATGAGGGACCAAGCCGGGAGGGAGGACTCAGCACCTGACCTGACCGCCCGCCCAGGGTCAGCGTCCGGGTTACAGGCGCACAGCGAAGAGCAGAGCACCCCCGGGGCTGAGCCGCGCTGCGGCCGGGCAGGCTGAGTGCCTCACCAGATGTTCCAGAGCACGTTCACCGCCTCGTTGGCTATGTTCTCAACAGAATGTCTGTGCTGCTCCTTCTCTTCCCGCGCAGGCACCTCGTTGGAATCCAGTCCCGCGCTACACTGTAACCAAACATCAAAAGTAGCACCTGGTTTAAAAGAACAATGAAACCAAATGGCTAATGACAGCGAAGAATCACAAAATCTAAACATCAGAAATGACAGTGGTTCACAAGCCTGCTCCTGTTTGGCAAGAGGACCAAGGAGTCTCGGGCTGGATTCCCAGTCAAGGGCATGAACTTGGGCTGCAGGATCCCTGCCCCCATTGGGGTGCATGCGGGAAGCATCCAACTGATGTGTCTTTCTCACATCGATGTTTCTCTCTCTCCCCGCCTCCCTTCCACTCCTCCACTCTCTGTGGAAATTAATGGAAAAAATTTCCTCGGGTGAGGATTAACAAGACAAACAAGACAAAAAATAAAAATGTAAAATCAATACCAAGTATTTAATCTAATGTGATAAAGACAGTAAACAAGGCAAAGAAAACCAACACACGGTAAGGTCTGACATCCACGCAGTGCCTTCTAAATGCAAGGTACCAGTCTACGCACCTCACATACACGGAGTCACTCAGCCCGCACCACAAGCCCATGAAGTAGAGGAACCACTGTCCAGTCTTCCACTACCAGCAGGAAACAGGTTCAGAGAGCTGCTGAGGGGGTAGCGTGGTGTGTGGTGCAGCTGGGATTCAGACCCAGGCATTCTGGCTCCAGAGCGGGTGCTGGGGACCACCTTGTGTACTGTGCCTCGAGCAGCATCCACGGCGTCCCCTAAAGCAAGGCCTCTCGCCTCGGCACGGCCGGCGTTTTAGGCTGGACGAGTCTCTACTGTGGGGCTGACATGTGCACTGCAGGAGGTTTGGCAGCACCCTCGGTCACCACCTGCCAGGAGCAGCCCCACCCCCAAGCTGTGACCATCACAGATGGCTCCTGTGGGGCAAATCACTCCTGGTGGGACCACTGCTTTACAAAGGATCAGGCTGGTGCCTCTCATAGAACTGGATGACCCCGAGAGAGCACCGAGTGAAAATCACCCCTCAGGACAGCACCGTGGATCAGGGGCACGCCAGCGAGAGAGCGCCTTGATCCCGGAGCTCGTATCACGCAAAAAAAGTTGGCACGGTATTAAATCTGGGAACTTAATGTCATCTCTCAGGCAAAAAAACAAACAAAACACAGATATTTTACAGATGCCAAGTGGACTGCTGTGAGGGTTTAACAGTATATAAAAGAGCACCTGGTGCATAAAGAAGGAATGCTAATTATTTTGTTGTATGAAGTTTAAAGTCTAAAGAGTCTGTTTATAGTTTTGGGAAGGTCTTTTCCAACTATTATATAAATAAAGGTAGTGGGAACAAACTAGAGACTGCTATCAACGACGATGAGAGATCAGTGTTTCCAGGAAAAGAAATAAAATTCCCATAGGATGTTTTGAGGGAAGACAACATAACACCCAAGTACTAAAACAAAAACATACAAAAAACCCCGAGTTTGCATACTAAACGCTCCACCTGACAATGGCCCCCAGGATACTGTAGAAGCTGCATACCTCCTGGAGCAGGGCGACCAGCGGCGTCATGATGTCCTTCGTCACCATGTCATCGCAAACCTCAAAGCCTCCACAAGCACTGAGATTCCTACACGAGGAGTTTAAGACACGTGTTACTTTCAGAGCACATCACAAAGCACCATGAAGCCCTCCAATGTATTTCCATTTCTAACCATTAAGGTTTCCCAGACGAAATTGCTTATTATTTTGATAAGATGTTGCAGAATCAATCCCTGGATTCCCACCTGTTCTGACTGCTGTCCTACCGGATGTAAACAAAGGACTTAGTCATGCAACAAGTCCGTCTGAGAAGCGCGTAGGTGCGTGCATACAGGGATGGGAGGGGGAAAGGCTTTTCCTATTTAATGTGAATAAGTCACAGCCTAATCTCACGTGAAGGGACCCTGTCTTGGAACCTACTGAGGACATCCCTGAGGCACCCCTGACCTGCGAAGCCAATGAATGAAACACAATAAATAGAGGCAGAGCTATAAGGACTACAAACACCAACATCTACTCTTGCCCCCTCTACAGTCCATTGGCTGCACAGCCGCCAGTGCCTTTTTGAAAAGGTAATTTGGATCATGTCACTTCTGCTCAGAACGAATAGGTCCTTTGGTCCCGCACCCCCAAGCCCTTGTCCATCTCTCCAGCCTCCCCGCCCTGTTAACACCGCGCCCCTACCCGACTCAGCCACACCAACCTTCCATTCCTTAACCGTGCCAAGGCCTCTGCTGCCTCCCTTCTCTGCTGCTCCTCCCCCGCCCCGGCCCAGTTCCTGGCAGCTGTCACCTAGAGGGCAATTTTAAAGCAACGTCTCACCCCCAACTCATCCTCTTCTGGGTTTTCTCCAGAGCGCATCTCACTCTGGAGGCAGGGATCTCGGCCCTCTCGCCCCATGTGCTGCCTGATCACAGTCCCCTGAACCCAGAAGCCCTGGCACATTTGTACTGGGAGCCTTTCCTGACTCTCAGGAGGCTCTGGAGGGTTCCTGGAGAGGGGGCAATGCGCGCTAGGCCCTGAGGGAGGGCGCTGGGCAGCCGGGAGCCTCTGGGGTCTGAGTTCAAATCCTCCCTCTGCAAATGGAGCCTCTGGGGTCTGAGTTCAAATCCTCCCTTTGCAAATCCTCCAGCTGCCCAGGATAGCTGCGCCGCCCGGCCGAGGCCCCGCGCCCCGGCCGCCCTCCCCGCTCA